TATAGTGTCACTTCTATTTTTTATATACAAACGTTACACACAGTTATACTGAGAACTATCTATATCGTATCTATACATAAAATTCTTTATTGATATAACAAAAAAACACTCGAATCTACAATTGACCATTATACAAAAATTACAACTATTACACTAAAAATACTAACTACATGAAGTACACCCCAACCAACTCTTCACCCCTGGTGACGCGACACTAGACTCTGAAATACTCTGTAATTTAACTATGTTCAACTGAGTGTAACCTACAAATGTCACAAGAATTACTACGACGACAAGATTGCAATGCCTACTTTTATCCCCGTTTAGGTAGTCATCTCGTGTGTTATGATAATAATGCACTCTTGACCACACAACAAAATGAACAACCGTATCATCCAAACATCTACACAATTCGCAAAGTCGCAGTCGTCTACGACCAATCTCAACACCAGGCCCACGACTACGTAGTAACCCCACACCCACGAAATCCGGAGGCCGCGTCCAACGAATCAACTGGAGAGCCCCCACCCGAAGTCACAAAATCCACCCCCACAGAGTCCACCTAAGTCAAACAGACACCATTACACCATACAGCGAATCGACACACTAGAAAAACTAAAAACAACACAACCACAAAAGAACAATAACTCGATCCGCAAATGAGCCGGCGAACAACAGAGGAGTTACAGATCCTATAGGAGGTGTATCCTCCTTGACACGATTCAACCAGGTTTGTTGGTTCCTCATATTAAACATAGACACTCCCACTCGAAGGACGACTGCCACAATGGCGTACACTCGCAGATGAATACACCTTATAGCTTTCCACTCACAAAAGGGCGATCCATTCCAAGTGAAACGAGAGAGAGAGTCTGATGCTCATCAAGACTTTCAGTAAACTAACAAGCGGAGGAAGAACGGATATTATTACACATAATACTATAATGCAACTAACAGCTCATATATATTACTACAAAACCCGTATACAAAACACAAGCGAACGATCACAACAGGACTGCCAACCAAGAAGAACACAACACACCATAAACGATTCTATCACTACTACAGAGAGTCTACCCAGGACACCACCAGCTCAACACGTCAGCCCATAACTGTCAAACAATACACACTACCTAAACTCTTATCCACGCACAGCGACCTCACACACAACTTCAAACAGGAACAGCTTTACGAGCAGTCTCTCTACATGACATAGGTACACACACATAACAGAGACACAACCAGATCTCCACACAGTACACATAAGT